CTCCGCAGAGGGTTGCGCCGGACAAGTCCAATTTGCACTCTCGCCTGCATTTCGCGCACTCGACACGCACGATCTCCGCAGAGGGTTGCGCCGGACAAGTCCAAATCGCACTCTCGCCTGCATTTCGTGCACTCGACACGCACGATCTCCGCAGAGGGTTGCCCGCGACAAAGCCGAATCGCACTCTCGCCTGCATTTCGCGCACTCGACACGCACGATCTCCGCAGAGGGTTGCGTTTCGTGGCGGTCCGGCGGCACTGCCCGGCCTTAAGAGAGAAAGTTAAGAAGAGCGAGAGGTGAGGATGTGAGATGTAGATATGAGGATGTGAAGATGAGCAGAGATGTAGACGTGCAGATGTGAAGATGAGCAGAGATGTAGATGTGTGAAGATGAAGATGAGCTGAGATGTAGATGTGAGGATGTGCAGATGTGAAGATGAGCAGAGATAGAGGTGACTACGTGATTGTACAGAGGTGAAGATGTGAAGATGTAGAGGAGGTGTAGTTCTGCAGATGTTTTTTTACGAAGAACCCTTCGCAGACGCTCTCGGGAACAAAAGCAGCACAAAAGCAGAAAAGCAAAGGAAACAAGAGCAAAGGACAGCACCAACAGCAAAAAAAAGCAACAAAAACAAAAAAAGTAAAGGCGACCAACACAAAAGCAAAAAAAGCTGCAATTGCAAAAGAAACAAAGCAAATCTGAAAAAGAAAAAAGTAAAAAACAAAAAAACACGTAACCAAATATAATAAACCAAAAATCCTTAAAAAAAATGTCGCATCCGTTTTGAATGTTCTGCTAAATATGATCAAGTCTGATATGCAAAAGGCGTCAGATCTTGCTTGTGCGTGAATATATCTTGGCTGAAGAAAAAGACTGGCATTGCAAGGCGCAACACATGTTGAACCCACCAAATTACGTAGCAACTAAAGGAACTTGGTTGTGTTCCGTCTCTGCTTTCTCACAATCATGTCTGCAGCTTCTCATAGAAGAACTCGGACCGTTCATGTAAGTCAATGGTGGATTTGACTCCCAGGATGCCTCTATCCACATTCCAAGGAACGTGAGTTTCCCGTCG